TTTCTCTCTGTGGCACGGAGCCTGGCTTCCTTTCTTGGAATATTGTGAGAAACAACAAAGAGAGGACAACTCTTCCAGGGCATAGAGAAGCCAGGGAGGCGGGCTGGATCCCTGTTAGACTGCAAACAAGTTCCTCTAAGCCCCAGGGCAGGGATGTTGAGTCTGTTCCTTCTCCCTTATTATATAAAAAGACAAAATGGACATTGCATGTATCAATATGTACACTTTGTTGGCCTTCAACTTGTATTATGGATGTTGCAAAAAATAAGGAATGCATAAGCTGCCAGCAAGATAGACAGAATACTATGTATGAGTAGACCAGGATATGTTTTTCTAAAAATACTTTTTAATTAGGCACCTTGGACCTGCATGATTACATTCCTGCCATTTCATCCACACTTGTATTAGATCCTTATATATTATTCTACTCTTCAACCGAAGTCAACAAGAGGACAATAGTTAAGGATCACAGAATCCCAATCCAGCCAGTGAGAAAATGTCAGTTAGGCCATTCAAACGCAGTGAACAGTAATGTTAAGTCACTATTGTCCATTCCTGGCCTATCAGTAAAGTGCAAGCCGGTATGCGATGATTGAGTAATAGGTTATTCTTGTATGAAGGAAAGGCTAAGAGAATGTTAAACAGACTCACCAGACAGAATCAGAAAACCGTGTTTGAAGTCTGGCTATTCCTTGCTACTCACTAGCTATCTGATCTGGGGCAGTTCAGGCATGCATCTCAAGTGTTATTTATCATCACCTATAAGATGAAAATGATAATAAAACTTTTCCCACCTTCCATAAGCGTTCTTAATAAGATTTAAATAAAATAACACATGAGAAACTGCTTTATAAACTACAATGTGCTGTCCATTAATTTTTTTATGACTTTCTAGATTTGGATGCTTGTTTCTAAGTGCCAAAAGATATTTGTTTATGAAGTCCACAGACTATTTTTAAAAGACATCATATTCAATAATTTCAACCTATTCACCTATTTAATTACATAACAGATCAATTCTACTAGCAAAACTAGTATAGTTTCTGCTTTGTTTTTCTTCTAGCACTGCTGAGACTTTTATAGACACTCTAGTTAGCAGAGAAGTAATAGGGGACAAGGATGAGAGTAGATAAATTTGGAAAGTTTATGAAGTTAGTGAATAGGCCCTAACATGATAATTAGTCCCTGAATAAGAATAGTATTATTAAAAATTAACAAGACTATAATCAATAATCTCATTCAGATCTTGATACTTTCTAATCACAATGCAGAAGAATAGAGAACACATATAATAAATAATATTCTAATGTTTTCTTTAAATGTAAATTTTGTATGTAGGGCAATATGTGGTTTAAAAATAACAGCCGTTTAATGACTTTTTTTAAAAAAATGGTTATGCTCCAGTAAATTTAGCTAAGAAAACAACTCTGATAATGCCTTGACTCCCACTTGCATTTACTGCTAAGCCAGCTAAGTCCAGAGAAGCTGAATCTTATCACATCTGTATCTGGCACCACCTTACTCACCGAGGCAAAGGAAAAAGAAAACCTCAGGAAAACATTCACTTTTTTTCCCTCACCCCACAGTGTGGGGCACAGATGCCCTGGACCCCTGCCTCTACTGCTCTGGCTGCCTTTGGATAGAGATCTGAAACTTCCAAATTCAAGAGTGTCCTGCTTTTTAAAGACCAACAAAGAGAGGGAACACTGACAAAAAAAAAAAAAAAAAAAAAAAAAAAAGGAAAAAATCCTATGAATAGGAGAATTATAAATAATGGCATAATATAAATCTGAATAAAATGAGTCAGAGTGCAAACAACCAGTTTTCTTCCCAAGTTCCTGAGGTCTGGGAAAGTTATTCTTCTAAGACTGTTAAGTATGCATCTGGGGAGAGGGGAGCAGTGAGACGGGTGTTATGTGTATTTGCATATTCACAATCTTGAAATACAACAAATATGGGAAAGCAATTATTCTAGTATATAAGGAAAAAATATATTATTTTTACAAAATAACTATACTGGTGGAAATAAAGGTATTTAATTGATTAGTTTTGAAATGCATTTCATGGATGAGTAGGACCTCTGGTGTTAAACTAGAGAAAGTTCACAACTTATATATCTTACTGGCAGAAAGAAGCAAATGTAATTTTCTGAAAGCTTATCATTGGAGGTTGTGGGCCATTGTTTTGCGACCTTTCCTTCAACCCTTTTTCATTTCCTCCCTCTCTCCTTGCCTCCTCACTCTCACAAATATAAATGAGTGCCTATTAGGTGCTAGGCACTATCCACATGGAAGAATATCCTCTTTGTTGTTCAGATTGCTTAACTTTACATATTACATGTATTTCTATAATCCTATATGGGGGGAGAGCAAGATTACAATATACATATAGCATACATATTTTAAATGTTCATATCTTAGCTTAAAATTCATTTGTTAATTTAATAAAGAAAACAATGATGAAAACAAGAACCTCTTAAGTGTGCCCCATGTCATAACCCAGTAGTGTAAGATGCCCCAAACAATAAAGTCAGAAGGATTCAGACAAAAAAAATGACACATAAAATTGCTAGGACATCTTCTTTTTTTTTTTTTTTTAAATTTATTGATTCTAGAAAGGAAGGGAGAGGGAGAGAGGAAAAAAAGACCAATAATGAGAGAGAATCATTGATCTGCAGTCTCTGCATGGCCACACTGGGGATGTAGCCTGGAACCCGGGTATATGCCCTAACCAGGAATCGATCCATGACCTCCTGGTTCATAGGTCAATGCCCAACCACTGAGCAATGCTGTCTCGGCTGCTGGGACATCTTGTGAATTTTTCATCATTATATTAACAGAGGGTTATCAAACTCCCCAAATGCAGATATCTATTAGCAAGATGATTTTTTGAGTGTGTGTGATCAGATGATTTCTGAAAACAGAAAGATAAATATCTAATGGACTTTTCTCCCCCTCCAATCACAGTGGGTTTCACATTATTATTTCATGAGCTTTTTCAAAATATTGGTTAGGTGGAAGCATTGTTAATCTGAGTTTTGCTATTCTGACAGTTCCTCAAGCTGTGGTGCAAATCTTCCTTTCTTCCTTACCTTGTGCATTCCATCCTTCTCCTGAGCCCCCTTCGTGAGCAGTGGGAATCCCACACATAATGCCATGAATTTCAGTCAACACTCTTAGTTTCTAGATGATTAATGGCATTGCATCTAATGCCATCCTAAGGCATAGAAATATACATGAAAAGAGATACAATATTTTTCCCTGATATTTTGTTTTGGAACCTCTTCGAACGCCTTGACTTTGCTAAGGCATTTTTAATTGAGAAAATTCAAGAGTGTCCTGCTTTTTCAGAGGGTGCAGCCAATTACCTTTCTTAGGCTATTTTGTTAACTCTGGAAACGTATTTAATGTAATACTGGAAACAATATTTGCATATTTTGTGGGTGGTCTATGTGATTTTCCATCTAAATTTACAAAAAGCTAATTAACTTTCATGAAAACATTTCTTTGAAGTATTTAGATTTGTAAGGATAAATGAAACTTCTTCACTCAGTCAGCATCATAGAGCAACTATAATAGAAGGCAGCTGTATAATTTGTTATAAAGTGAAAATAAATGTGATGAATATTGTGCTTGAGTTCGATTTTGTTTCACACCAGGTGAATAACTTTTATTTGGAAGTTTTCATTGTAATTCCAAATTACTCATTAGAATTTTTTTCCATTAGAATTTTTTTAAAAGAATTGTTTTTAATAGTCATTCTCACCACACAATTCATGCAGTATCTACTCAGCCACCCCAAAGATTTAACGAGCTTCATAATTCCAAACAAATTATATTATACTGTCAAAAATCCTAATAGATTATAAAAATGAAACGCCGTCTCCAATTTTTAGCTATATTAATTCTAATCTTGACTATTGAGAAATGCAAGTTCTGACCCTATTCATTATGTCAGGTTGAAGACTGTGGAAATAAAAGCAAGCCTCTCCCCCTCCCTTTTCTTCTGGATGTTTTTATGTGCACGTACAAAAAAAAAAAAAACTATTTAAGCCATGTCCAAAGGATATCCTAAAATGAATTATTCACATGGCATTGAAAAGACACACACACACACACACACACACACACACGGAGCTAGCTGGTAAGCGGTAAGCAACTTCAGGGCAGGTGCAGTGCGAGTAGAATATCAGGAAATTGGATCCAGCTGAGAATTCCAATTACCTAATGAGGGTGATCTGCTTTCACTCTTAATTTCTTGGTGTCTCTAATTCATTATCATCTGTAGCATAAAAATAATGCTTTAAAATCGCACTTAAAAATGGAAACAAATATTCAGCTGGCCGATTTCTTTCCTTTGGGCGGAGGAGACGGAAATTTCAAGTGACAAAGAAATGCAAACGATAAAGACTTAAGATGGAGCAGTAACAAAGAATCCTCGAAAGGGTCCGCCGCCGCTGCTTTGTTCTGGCACATTGCTTCAGAGAAGGACACATCACAGGGAATTTGTGAAACACAAAATGCAATTTTTATTGGTTTATAGGGGGAGTGAAATAATGATACCTAACTCTAGCAAAAAAAAAAACAAACAAAGGAAAAAAAAAAAAAAAACAGCACCGTCCTCGGGCAGCGATTATTCAGCCCAAGTTACCGTTATTAGTAATTTCCCAGCCAGGCTCTGACTAGCGGGGTGAATCAGCCCGCGCCAGGCCCCTCTCTCGCTCGCCCGCCCAGCAACCAGGGCTTGGCCAGGGAAGATGCTCGGGGTTGGCGCATAGGTGACCCGCCTTCGCTTTGTGTCCCCGCTGCAGGTGGGGCGGAGGAAGAGGATCGGAGGAGGAGGAGCAGGCGGTCGGCGGTCGCTGAGCAGCAGCCCCCCAGACCCTCTAGCAAGCCTCCTTTCCACGAGCCGGAGGAAGCCACGGACCTCCGCACGGGGGTGGCCGGAGGGCCTGTGCGCCGGAGAGCCCGGCACCCGGCGGCCGGGGGCGCCCGCCCCTCATGTTCCGCAGGAGGCGCAAATGTGAGCAGGCGGTGAGCGGGGAAAGCCCTCCGCCCCCGCCAGGGGGACCCGGGAAGCCCGCGCGGGCTCCTCCCGCGGTTGGCGGGGATCCCCCTCTCCGGCCCCGCCCCCTCCTCCCGGGCCCGTGTGTCAGACCGTTAACCCTCCCCGCGCCGCAGAGCGCTGGGGCGAGCTCCGCGCAGCACATGCCGACTCCAGCGCGCTGGCGCCGAGCAGCCGGGCAATATCACGCTGATTTTAAGGACAATCAGCATGTTCCCGAGCCAAACTTTTTCTCTCCAAAGCCGGGCCCCACACTTATTTCCCCCATTCTCTGCGGGACTACTGGGAGAGGTGGGTGTGGAGCGAGGGGGCTGCAGGTCTGCAGCGGATTTGGGGCGTGTCTGGCGGCGGCGGGGTGGCCCGGCCCCGCACCATCCCCGCGCCTGGCCCTTTGCCACTGGCCCAGCGCGCTGCAGTCCCCGGCGGGCGCAGGGGATCCAGACCGCACTCCCGGGCAGTAGTTAGGTGGAGAAGAAGGGGGGCGCGATGTGGAAGGAAGGGAGGGACACTCCTTTCTTTCCTCCTACCCCTGCAGCCTGGCTGCCCTGCCTGGGGGCTCCCCATCCTCAGCGGTGCTCACGGGCGCTCCCCATCGGCAGGTGGCATCATCGCCCTCACCTTGTCCTGCGCGCACCCTTGGATTTTTTCACCCTGCAGATCCCTCTCCCCATGCAACCCCTTCTCTTTCACACACACACGCTCCCCTAAGCCGCGCGCGCCGCAAACTCGGTCTCGGTCCCCGCAGGTGATGTCATGCCCATTGTTTTGGTGCGCCCAGCCAATCGGACTCGCCGCCTGGATTCTACCGGAGCCGGCATGGGCCCTTCCTCGCACCAGCAGCAGCAGGAGTCCCCGCTCCCGACCATAACGCATTGCGCAGGGTGCACCACCGCCTGGTCCCCCTGCAGCTTTAATAGCCCCGACATGGAAACCCCACTGCAGTTTCCGCGCGGCTTCTTCCCCGAGCAGCCGCCGCCACCGCCGCGCGCCGCACACCTGCATTGCCAGCCGCCGCCGCCGCCGCCGCCGAGCCAGGACAAGCCGTGCCCGCCCTTCGCGCCCCTCCCGCACGCACCCCACCACCCGCACCCCCTCGCGCACCAGCAGCCGGGGAGCGGCGGCAGCAGCCCATGCCTCCGGTGCAACAGCTGCGCCTCCTCCGGTGCCCCCGGGGCGGGGGCGGGGGCGGGGGATAACCTGTCCCTGCTGCTCCGCACCTCCTCTCCCGGCGGCGGCGGCGCCTTCCGGACCCGCACCTCCTCTCCGCTGTCGGGCTCATCGTGCTGCTGCTGCTCGTCGTCGCGCCGGGGCAGCCAGCTCAATGTGAGCGAGCTGACTCCGTCCAGCCATGCCAGTGCGCTCCGGCAGCAGCAGCCCGCGCCCGCCTCCCACTACCACCAGTGCCACAGCCTGCAGCCCGCCGCCAGCCCCACGGGCAGCCTGGGCAGCCTGGGCTCCGGGCCCCCGCTCTCGCACCACCACCACCCCCACCACCACCCCCACTTGGCGCACCACCAGCACCACCAGCCCCAGGCGCGCCGCGAGAGCAACCCCTTCACCGAAATAGCCATGAGCAGCTGCAGGTACAACGGGGGCGTCATGCGGCCGCTGAGCAACTTGAGCGCGTCCCGCCGGAACCTGCACGAGATGGACTCGGAGGCGCAGCCCCTCCAGCCGCCCGCGGCCGTCGGAGGAGGTGGCGGTGGCGGCGGCGCGTCCTCTCCGTCCGCGGTCGCCGCCGCGGCAGCAGCTTCGTCCTCGGCCCCGGAGATCGTGGTGTCCAAGCCGGAGCACAACAACTCCAACAACCTGGCGCTCTATGGCACCGGCGGCGGCGGCAGCACGGGCGGCGGCGGCGGCAGCGGGCATGGCAGCAGCAGCGGCACCAAGTCCAGCAAAAAGAAGAACCAGAACATCGGCTACAAGCTGGGCCACCGGCGCGCCCTCTTCGAGAAGCGCAAGCGTCTCAGCGACTACGCGCTCATCTTCGGCATGTTCGGCATCGTGGTCATGGTCATTGAGACCGAGCTGTCGTGGGGCGCCTACAACAAGGTACGCGCCCCGAACCCCTCCCTACCCACCCACCCACCCTTCCCGGGGGCTGCAGAGCGGGTTGCCAGCTGGGTAGGGTTGGCACTGGCGGGGACTCCCTGCCTGCCAGTGGCGAGCTTTCCCGGGACAGTTGGAGGGCAGTGCCGCTGGGACAGGGAACGCGGCGGCTCAGGAGCGCACGCTGAGTCCGCAAGGCAACTCCGGAGAGGAGGCCTTTCGCTGCGCAAAGTTGTGGAGACAGTGAGTGCCCTGCGCGTCTGGGTAGATTAACTCAGTGGTTCCAGGCGTGTGTGGGAAAGCATGCGTTCTTCCTCGGGATTCAAGAGGCCCTTTCCACCCGGAGAGCTTAAACGCAGGAATAACTTCTCTCCGGTTCCTAGAGCTAGGAGCTGCACTTGGGTCTGTGCCGGCGAGACCCCGCGCTGCCTGGCTGGCTGGTCACCCACCTTCCCAGCTCTCCTCTCCTTTGAGGCTAAGTGATGTGACAGATCATAGAGCCAAGATAGGGGTCCCCCAAACCCAGCTGGGTGTTCAGGCCCACTTGGTGGGGCACTCGCTGACCCTCCCAACCCCTCACCACTCGGGCCCAGGGTGGTTGAAAGTACTTCTTTCCTAAAGTGCTTCTGTCTGACTGTGTTGCAGGCGTCGCTGTATTCCTTAGCTCTGAAATGCCTTATCAGTCTCTCCACGATCATCCTGCTCGGTCTGATCATCGTGTACCACGCCAGGGAAATACAGGTAACTTAGGTTCTGCTGTTTATGAATGGCCCAGAGTGATGCCTCCAGCCTGGAGAAGCTCAGGCAGCAGAGCTTTTTTCCCCAAGCCCTCGTGTCCTTGCTTGAGGTTACAGAAACAGCGTGCTGCATTCTTACCTTCCTGTTCCTTCAAGAAGTTAAAAACAAAACACAGTGTAGCATGTAAGCAGGCAGTCATTTTGGGGATGTTTTTATCCAGCCCTTCAGATTTCCCCTTGTCTTCCTGCAGGCGATCTATCCACTCTTGCACTTCTTGTCCTCAAGATCAACTATGCACTAGCCTTGCTCTGAAGGGTAAAGGACTGTTCTTGTTTGATACCTCCGCTTCCTAGTGGTGCCTCATTATGGAAGATTACATCCATTTGGATCATCTCCTCTGATATAGCCTAGAGAAGAAAATAGGCTGGTGATAGTCCTACCTAATGTATATAAATAAGACATGAGAGATCTCTAACTCTTTCTATATCCCCTCCATCATTTAAAAAAATAGTTATAAGTTTTGAATACAAATTCTGTATCTATGATATGTGATAGATTCTGAGCTACAATCATTACATCACTTTTCAAAAATGCAGTCAAGAGCAAAGGCTACTGCTCTTGTGAGCAGTTGTGTTAGGAAAATGTTTTAAATGCAGCCAGGAGCTCTATATTGTTAGATTTAGCTGTTGCTGACAACTTCGGAATCATTCTACACAAAATTCATGTGTTGTATTTTGAGTGGTTTGCTTTGCTGTGGCCTTTAGTCAAAGATACATTAAGATTTCTGAATTAAAATAGAGTTTTCAAAAATGAGGAGGGATTGGGCTTTTCCAGTGTAGAATTTACACTCTCATATATTTTCTGATATTTTTGGAACAGTTGTGAGACATTTGGTGGAACTATTAAAATCATCATATTTAACCTGCTGTCTTTTAGGAGTGGCCTTTGACTTTAAAACATTGTACAGAACATGCCATTTAGGGAACTTAACATTAATTAGAGATTAAATTAATTTTACATTAGTAATTGGCAAACAAACACTAATTATGGAAGAACCCAATTTTAACAGTTGTCCAAACAAAATAAAAATGCACATGACCCCAAACGAGGAGGGGGAAATTACTTCATTTTGTGTTCAAATCTGTAAAAACTTTGAAAGTGTGATTTTGAAGGAATGAGATCAGAGAAGAAAATTAGAGAATATTTAGAGGAAATAGTAAAACTGCACTGGCAAAACCAGGCAAATACATATTTGAACTCTTTAAAATTTAATAACTTACATAGATCTCTCTTTAATTAGGTACTAATGGTCACAGGCTTTGGAGATTCAAACGTTTTAAAGTGATACTAAAATGTAATTTAGACATCAGGAGTGTGTCTTTTCATTTTGGCTTGAAGAGTAGACAGAGCTGGAAGGAACAAAATAGATCTAAGGATTCTTTTGACTCAATTTTCAGACAAGGACCTGGAGTCAGAAGAGGTGAGTAGCTTTCTGGATCACACAGCTAGACTGTACAGAGCGTGACCAGGCCCTGTCCTCCGAGCGTGGAGTCCAGAATGCTCCCTGGTCTCCCTGCTGTCTTCCGCTACTGCTTGCCCGCAGCCCTGAAATGTGGACATTTCGTTTGGTTTCTCTCTACATCCAAATGTTTGGTATATGAAGAGAGTTAAACTTAAAAGATTATTATAGAACATCTTAGGTATTTTTAAAAATCAAGTAACTTTTTTTTCTCTTGGAGATCAGAGTGATTTTACTCAGTTCACTCTAGAAAGAAACCTTGCCATTTGCTGTTGCTGTTTTTACTTTTTAAAAAAATATACATTTTATTGATTTTTTACAGAGAGGAAGAGAGAGGGATAGAGAGTTAGAAACATCGATGAGAAAGAGACATCTATTAGCTGCCTCTTGCGCATCCCGCAACCAAGGTACGTGCCCTTGACCAGAATCGAACCTGGGACCTTTCAGTCTGCAGGCCGACGCTCTATCCACTGAGCCAAACCGGTTTTGGCTATTTTTACTTTTTAATAAACATTAGCCTTCCTATTACTACCTATTCCTTCTGAAAAGCACACAGCTACACAAGCATTCGTCAGGGAGGACACTTGATGGTATTGACATAAGTAAAACAAGTGTCTTCCTAAAGACTGACTTTTTAAGAATTATTGAGATATTTTTGAAATAATAGGAGTGTGAGAGGAGCTACCAAATGTTAATTACACATTGTAAAAAAAAATTTGATACCATGTTAGAGCTCTTGAAACTTACAAAAAATAATAAAATATCAGAAATCATATTTTTATAGATTATTGAAAGAATTCTACTCGTTGGCTAATTTTGAGGACAATTTCTTGAAAGAATTCTACTCACTGGCTAATTTTGAGGACAATTTCTGTTACAAAAATGCATAGATATGTTGGTTATGTATGGCAGGAGTGAGAAAAATGAAGATAAGCACAGCGAGCTTCTCTACTGTTGGGGTCATAAACATTACAAAATGTTAGATTTTTAAAATTGGGTTTATTTTATATGACATGGCTTCTGTACAAATAATCACACTTAATAGAATTTTAAAATACATGATTGTGTAATATCAGTTGTTTTGGATATAGATTTTTACATTCAGTATTTTATCTAGAGCAGTGATTTTCAACCTTTTCCATCTCATGGCACACATAAACTACTAAAATTTTGCAGCACACTAGATTATATATATAGCCGATCTGACAAAAAAAAAATAGGTAGTTTTGATTCATTCACACTGGATGGCTATAGTTGTGTTGGCTGTTGTCATAGTTTTTATTTGTCAATCTAAGGAAAATCGGTCAGTGGCCCTGACTAAATAGTCAGGTATTGCATGTTTCAAAAATTCTTACAGCATTTGAAAATTTCTGATCTAGAGGGATTTTTTTTTTTAGGTTGCAACTCTATATTATTACCTAAAATGCTTAAGAAAACAAAAATAAATAAGTAGACCACATGAATGTGAAGATTTTGACCTAGAAGTCAAGAACCAGAAAAATAACACAGGATTGTTTTAATAGAGTCAGAGATAGAGTTGGTGGTACTGCCCAAATATTTCTGAAGCTCAGTGAAACCAAGCTCTCAACTTAGTTTTTACTTATAGATGTCACTGCTCTAAGTTCTTTCATAAGTCTTAAGCAAATAGGCAATCTCAGTTTACTAGTAAGAATTCTTAATATATTTATTAGCTTTGAGTTAAGGAACTAAATGCAGGTCTTATGTTGCCATTCAGAGCATACCCTTGGATGTAGCATGTGTCTAAAATGGCTCCCCCCCCCCCCCTTTTAGCTTATCAGCATGATGGTGGGAGAGACCTAACTAGTGTCTGTTTCTGTTACATCCTATGATTTCTCACTGCATTCAGGAAAAGTAAATGTTATAGCCAACATTCTGGCTCTGTATATCAAAATTGATTAACAAATCATGGGAAGACCTTGACATTTCCAAGGGGAACCTTGGAAAGCAAGTCACAGTGACCTTTTGTAGAATGTTTATATACACACTGACAGAATAAGATGGTTCAGGTGAGTCATGGACGGAAGTGCCTGAATTAATATAGTGTAATGAAGAGCAGAGCTCAGTATATTTCAGTTTGGTGTCATTTTTCAGTACCACAGACAGCTCAATGCATCAAGCTATAGCTTGTTCATTTAATTGATTACTTGTATACCCCTCCAATCAAAAATGAAATCACTTTTTATTATCAGAAGGTTAATATAAAATCAGATTTAATGGGCAGAGTTTTCAGCTGCAAAGATATTAGACTTTTTCAAATAGAAATTTGGCTGTACTTCATATAGTCTTCAGCAAAGCACCGCCACCCCCACCACCACCACCAAAAAAAAAGTGTAAATAAAATAACCTAGGTAAATGTCTATCTGTGTATGACAACCCTCTGACAAAGGAAAGATACTATAAGCTAGTTACTATCACTTGATACTAATTAATAGGGGGAAAAACCCCAGAGGCATGATATCTCATGATTTTTCTTCTTTGTCTGTCTCTCCCCCCACTCCTCCCACCACTTTTTCTGTGGGGTTGGAAGTAGTTCTTTGATGGAATAAATACTAAACAAAGTTCACATACTCTTTAAGGTTTTCATCATGAAATATTTTGTAGATTTCACTTCATCTTTTCAACTTTAACATGTTCTAATTCTCTTAGGGAAGTAGTTTTAGTTGAAAGAGCTGTTTGGTATTCTGAGTTAAGCAAACACAAGATTCTAGGTTGGAAAAGAAAGCTCTTTGGAGTCTGATCTTTCTGGTCCTGGTGGGATTTGGGAAAATGGAAAGTACTATATTTTAAAGTTGAAAACATTTTTTGTTTGATTTCCTTTTTTGTAATAATATAATTATATAATAAATAGCATTAGAGGAAACACTCATTTTTCTTTGGTATCATTTGCAGTGGAATAACTCTACTCATTCTCTTTCAAGGTAACTTTTCAAAGATGGACAATATAGATGTAAAACTGGAAGATCATAAATTAAAATTTCTCCTTGTTTCTGTATCTAGGCCACACAAAGGATGCTCTCTTTCCCACTCCTCAGAGAGCAAGTAGATACTTCCAGACCATACAGAATATATTGCATATAGTCATTTTTTTTATTAATGGGATAATAATAAATACACACAGTAAAAACAACAGATAGTACAGAAGAGTTTAAAATAAGTGGTTTATTCAGATTCTCCATACCTCAGTCCTGTTTCTTAGGAACAAGCATTTTGAAGATTTTTCATATGTGCTTCCAGAATTTTCAAGAATGAACACTTAGGTGTGTTGAGATAACACACATGCTTTTATTTCATAATATATCTTGGAGGTTTTCCTCATCTGCGCATAGAAATCAGTCTCATTCTTTTGTAGCAGCAGCATATTATCCCATTATGGATGTATTGTGGTTTGCTGATAGGTGCTTTGAGTTTTCTAGGTGTTTGCTTTTATAAGCAACACTAAAAATGAACACCGTGGTATACTTAT